TTCCATTTATTTATTTTTTTATTTTTTATTTAACGGAATGTAATTTTTTTTGAAAATAGTATTTTCCATACAATACTTTTCCTTTATGGTTATGAAACGCACTGTATTATCATTAAGAAAAAAAATGAGCATGCCATTATGACCGATATGTTACCATTCACCAGCTTAAGGCCAGTTGCCAGTGCTCTACCTTTTCTTTTAGACTTCTTTTTTCACACTTTTCCTTCCTTCCTTCCCTTTTGTTCAGAAATAAATGAGGTTTTTCTTTATTGTTGACTTTTGTTTGTTTTTTGTTTTTTACTTTTTTTCTCGGATTCAGAAAGCGTAAATAAGTGAATTTCATAAAAATGCAAAAGATGCCAGATGCCACAGATGGCCAGTCGACTACCGGGTTGAAGTACCTCCATGAACTCCCCCCAGAGTGAATTCTACCACTAGTAACCTCCTTTTTTTGTGAGCTATAGTATATAAATCTTATTCTTTGGATATACACTTTATACTACACCTTTTCTTTATTTTCTACATTTTTACACTCCACTTCTCTGTTCGATATAGAGTTTTACTTTTCAGTGTATTCTCCCTCTACTTCTTGGCGGATCTACCTCCACCCTTCCCCTCCCTCCTTCTACCACACCTTCATAGTTTTTTTTTGCTGAAGCACAATGGTTAAATGGTCCTCATTGTTGTAATTTCCATTTTGCCCACTCATGATGTTTGCTTCATGACTTTTTTCGGTAAAACCACAACTTTCAGAGGCCTTTCAGTCAGAGTTTATTGTGTTAATGGACGATTTCGACGACGCCGACGACGCAACAGAAACAGACTTTAATTGCACACCTTTTTTACTCATTTTTTTGTTACTCTGCTCTGCTTACAACTTGCTCTCAGAAACTGAGACACACGCAAAAGATAGAGAGGGCGAAACAACCCAAAAATAATTGTACATTTGCTAGGCGCCCAAATAGATTTCACTTTTTTTTTTTGCCACGGTTTTGCTTTTATTTCATTGTGGATTTGTTGGCCATAAAACAATTCAATGCCAACTTCAAATGAGTTTATGGGCGATCAAAAAACAAGACAGGAAAAACGTGTATAAATTTTATTAGATTTCAAGCAGATACATAAATATATCGAAAAGTCGAAGGGGATATTCGATTCAAGAGAGGAAATAATAAACATGCCAGGGGAAAGTATAAGAAATACGTACTGCAGAGTATCCGCTGCTTTAATTCTATTATTAGTGTAACAAAATGAAAATCATGAACAATTAATAGTTAAAAGAGCTTGAAACTTGATCAGCCAAAAAAATATGCGAGTAGTTCCTCTAGCTAGAGATCGGTAAATAGACAGATGTTCACAACAAAGTGATCGAAAACGGTTTTGGGAAAGAGAATATTTTACTCTTTGAAAACAAAAATTTATTCGAAAGATTCTTGTCGAAGCACATGGGAACGTTGGATCTGCAGACTACCACATACCCTGATGTTTCTACGACTACAGGGTATCCTGTAAGAACACTGTTGTATAAATATAATGTTATCCTACTGCTGGGAATACCCCGGATGGGCAATGAGCGATGGGGAGGCGGTAATAGTCGCATAAACCATGTGTTAAATAATGATCAGACAACCGCACCCACTATTTGTGATATATTCAAAGAGATACTCATACTCGGTATCGCACTCGCATTTGTGTATATTCGTGATACGTTGATCGTCAAACATTTATAAATAATTGAAATTGAAATGTTTGCTTTAGCAAGAGTACTTCCTATATATTCCAACAACGGACGAGTTTTAATTATATGCTCGTATTTATGCAAAAATTATGTATGCTATAAGGCATGGAATGATGTAATACTATGTGGGGTCTTCCTTCTGTAAAGAGCCTAAAGATTGGGACGCCTCCTAGCAATCTGATAATCAATTACAATCGCCTGTGGCGCGTGCTGTTGCCGTTGCCTTTTGCTGCCTTACGGTGCCCCATTGACTGGGATCCGTATCGCGTTTCTTAAAGTTGTTTTTTGTAGGTTGCAGGCTGTTGTGCTGTTGCGCCTCTTTCTCTTAGCCTAGCCTCCACTGTTCCATTGTTTCGACGACCACGACGTTCACTCGGTTGTCGGTTTCGTTTTTTTTCTGTACAGGGAAAACCGAGTAAAGAAAAACAATTGCAAGGCATTCATTATACCCCTTTTACGGGGAACTATACCTAGTCGTATGTACTTGAAGAAGTTAAGCAATGGGAGTTCCGATGAGAGAGAGCGAGAGGGGCGTAGGGGGCCAACTAATTATTTGTATCCGGTGCGAGTACCGAGTAGTGCACAAGGCTAACATGTAAATACCTGGCTAGAAACGATGGAATCTATTGCGCGTCGCGTGTTGAAATACTTTAATAGATGTGTTCTTGCAATTTAGGAAGATACATTGTGATTCTCTTGCATGTAATCTATACATTTCTTTATCAGAGATCTACGACTTCTCCATATATCCCGTTGTTTTTTTCAGTTCATTCTTTCAACATCTAAAGCTGCATTCGATATGGCAGGGCAGCGCTTGCAAAATCTGGCAACGCTGTCGTCGCATTAAATTACGGTTTATCTTGATTCGCGACACAGAGAAAAAACGTCCTCGACAAATAAAGAGAGAGATAGAGAATCTCTGCGTAAAGAAGAAAGAAAGTGGCAAACAAAAACAAAGAAAACCTGAAAACAAGAAGACGACGTCGGCGACCAGGAAACGAGTGCGGAAAAACTGTGTGCAGTCAGTCAATGAATGCATGAAAGAAGAGCAGGCACCGCATAGAGAAGGATAGGAGAAGGAGGGAAGAAGAGAAGACCCCGAGACGGAGTTGCTGGAAAAAAAAAAGAAAAACAGAAATTGCCGTAGGCCCCCACAGCATTTTCTATTTCGTTTGAGAGGTAAGCCGCCAGCCAATAGCCCCACAGCTGCTGGTGCTGCCTTTGCTGCCACGCTCTGATCTGCTTTGCGCTTTTCAAGAAAACAAGGAAAAACGTACCGTTATTTATGAGCTGCAATTGTGGTGAAAAGGGGGAAATACAGCGAAGTGGGGTTGGATGGGGCTTTAGAGGGAGCAGAGAGAAGTGTGTTAATTAACAAAAGAGAAGCAGAAAAGTGGTGGCATCCGGAAAGTGAGGCAATGAAAATGTTGTATTTCTAAATTTTCAAATCTATTTAGAGCGTAATAAATTAATAAAAGAAAAAGTTTAACCACAGGCGGAACTTCTCTAAGAAAGGGGAGACATTTGGATGTATGTTGAAAAAAATTAACAAACGAATTGGAATTAATTGGAAAATTGTAAAATATGGATTGGTGAGGATTTTCTATTAAATATAGACAAAATTCTTTAAAATTTACATGGTGGTATTTGGTGTAATTCCACTTTTAAGGACATAATCCTTTATAATTTAACATCCAAAAGGAGATCAAGTTATATCAATATATTTAAAGTTACAGGACATTCGATTTGGGGAACCTTTTTGTTGAAAATGTACAAGTTTTTTTTTAAATTACTGCCTTCTTATTCTAATCAATCAATAACCCCTTAAAAATCGCCATCATTTTATTATTCTTATCTAATCTAACGACGGATATAGACAGTCAATGGAGGCCTCTTCTTGAAACACTTGAAACCCCTTTGGAAACATCTGTGTTGTTTGTTTGTTTGTTTGTTAGCTTCGTTATTTCCACAATGAGATTTCCAGCCAATGTCGACACTGACCTCCAGGTAGCCCGAGGTCATCGTCGTCGTCGTATAACACACACGCACACACACTCACACACACACACACACACAAGCACACCTTATAAAAAAAATAAGTGATGTAGTGTTTGCCTTCGATTGAATGGATTGTGGATTTACGTGTAAATTGCTTCTAATTTCGGTTTTCCTCTGGGGGATACACTCAAAAATCTGGCGACGGCAATCAAAATGTCAAGCGGATCGACAGATTGACGAGCGATCGGCCATTACAAACAGAGAGGTTCGCTCCAAAGGGGCTGCATGTGAGAGGGCGGGGGGGCTTTCCATCAATGTTTTATTTTTGGCGGCGACCCTCGCTTCCTCCTTCTAACGGTACAACATATTCCAGGCAGCAAGCAGAGCAAACGAGAGAGAGAAAGCTAAATATAGATGAACTGTGGAATTCAGTGATGGAATTGCGTCTGAATGCCGCCGAAAATCTAAAAATAAATTACTCAATCACTGGAAAACCGAGGCTACGGATGGCCCATCAAACTACTTTGACATTGTTTTCGTTTTGTTTGTTTTCTTTTTGGTGGGAAATTCCAAGTTATTTTCCATTGCACCCATAAGTATGAGTACGAGTAACGCGAGTATCAAGAACAGATCCCAAATTACTCCAGACGTAGATACATAAATTAGTTTTACTTGTAATTTGCAAACACGAACACAGGCGGCAGCTGGCGCCATTTTTCTGCTTTTGTTTCTGGTGCGTGTGAGCTTGTGTGCGTGTGTGGTGTAGTGTGAGAGTGTATTTCCAATTTGAATTGAGACTGGAACGAATGCAGTGAATGCGGTTTCCACAGACACACAGACACAAGGTGCACATGCTGCAAAAACAAAATACTAATGAAACTGTTGCAGTTTTATGTGTGCATGTGTGCTATAGCTGTTTGCCGTGTTCTGCCAGCGTCAGCGAATTAATCATCCAGCAACGGTTAAAACCCAGCTGGCACACAAAGAGCGAGTGAGAGGGGAGGCGGAGAGAATGCTTTGACCAGGGCCAAAGCAAGCGCTGACGTCACAGCGACACAGTTAACAAACGAACCAACACACACACACACGTACACATACGTACACTGCAGAGTTGCTTTGACACCATTCGCACTGTTGCGCTGCTCTTAATTAATTACAGCTCTCCCTCCTCCCCTGCGACTCACTATATATATATTTAGCCAGTGTGAGAGAGGTGATAAGAGGGAACTATGATTTGGGTTATCAGAGTCACCGTTTACTGTACCTTGGGTTTGTTCAGCCACTTGCGAAATGTGTCCATCGTTGTTGTTGTTGTTGTAGGAGCGTTGCAGTTGCAGCGCCGCCACAGCTGTTGATGCTCTCAATCGCTTCCTCTTCCAACGAAGTGCGTTTTTGTTGTCCTTGCACACTCGTGCAACCGCACGCACGCACTAGCACTCAGGCAGCGAACGAGTGTGAGCGAGAGGTAGGGTAGGGGGGCACGAAAACCAAACAAAACAAAGAAATACACACGACCAACAACAACGGCACTACTTCTACTGCCTTGGCCACACTGCGTTCAATATGTTTAGCGACTTCTGGCTGCTGGCGCTGCTGTGGGCCTTTTGCGTCGCGATTCCACCTTTAAATGCACATTATTTCACTTAACACTTTTTATAATTTTTTTCCCAATTTCGGGGCCTGTCTCATGCCTATTTCTCCTACTTGTCTGGTGTTAATTTTTGACTGGCTTTTGCACTTTGCTTTTTGGCTTTGACTTTTTCTTTGCGTTTCGTAGCAGCCACAACAACACATCACACGCGTGACTTTTTTTCTTATTTCACACCACTCCCGCACATTACACTTGCAACTGCATTTCACCTGGCGGAAATTGCGTCGATTTGGTTAAAAATTCTTAAAATATATTAAACGAAATGTGTGAAACTGGCTTTTCGGGAGCGAAAAAACCATTAAACTCGCGCAACACTCATCCGCCCTTGCCGTTTCCGTCAGCGGCGTCGTCCGTTTAGTTTAAAGTTTTTTTTTCGAATGCGAATGCCATGTCGAGCAACGAAACAAAAACACAAAGCAGAAATGACTAAATTTGACCCGAGGGGAAAGAGCTGAAAAAGCAATCGATACATCGATATATTTGCTCATTTTCGCGTTTCTTGATTGTTACACCCTAAAAATGGACAAATTCTGAAGCACCGAATTTTGGTCCCACTGGTGGGAATTATAAACACGAGAAAAACAGAAATTAAATCAGACAATCATTATATTTATGCTACCTAGGTCTCTAAAATTCTTTTTTTGGATTGGCGGTGACAAAATTTTGTAGCAGATTAGTTATTTTATGGCGAGCTTCTCTTGCCGCCGCTGGCGTCATATCATTTAGCAAAAAGTCCCAGTACGTCAATACTTCCATATTTTTAAATGGTGGCTTTGCTGGGACTTGCTTCGCATCTTTTACGAGGTCCTGCAGGATGTTTACTACAGTACTGGAATTCGAGGTGGCACATTGCAATTCCCTTTCTTTCGTCTGTTAAAAGAAAGCAGTGTTAGCATTTGATAAATCAATTATTCAAAATATACTCACCACAGAGTAGTTGCTGCCGGATATCGAACTCGCTTCCGTATCAGTCATGTTGCATTTGTCGACCATTGGGCTTGACTCCCACATCACCTCCGGTTCTATTTTTATCGTTTTTGAGTTCGTACTGGCGGAATACGAATCATCATAATCCACCATTCCATCATTCTGATCTTCCGGGCAGTCATTTAAATATAGGACTTCAGGGCTGCGCCTTTTCTTACGTGGGGATACGAATACTGCAGGTTGGTGGCCAAGAATGGCATGCATTCTCTCAAAGTGTTCCCACCTCGTTTGCCTTTTCTGTCTGGTGATCGTTTCATACGTTTTCTTCAAGTTCCTATACTTACGGTCAACCGAAACCTCCGTTTCGTGTATACCATGCTCCTTTAGCTCTAGGACAACGAACTTCCACACATCCCTTTTTTTCTTCAGCGGATCCTGAATATCTTTCTTTCTGTCCAAAAACAGTTGCAGTAGTAGCTGTGTGGTATTAGAGGTCCACCTTTTCTCGTCACCTGCAATAGGGATGGGATTAGTAAATAGCAATTGACACTTCTTTAACACAAAAATTACTTTGCTCCATTCCTTTGAAAAAACAAACACACTAATATGAAAACAAAACAATTGTCAGCTGTTATATCGAAAGCATTCCTGCGCTTGGTATTTTAATACCAACTCATCAGTTTTCTGGTTCCGATTACTTTTTCCTGTGGAACGGAACTGATTCATGTATCATGATCAGTGATCATATAATTTTTGTGATCATTGATCAGGGAGCAAGTTATAACTTCACCAGAAATGACCTATTCTCTTGTTGCCCTGCTGAATTTCCAATTTCATATTTGCGCTCACATAAAACAAGTAAATGTTCGTTGCTTCACCACAAGCAAAATAACTAGTTCAGAATGAACTGAAATACTCATCTCCATGAAATCAGTTTCGATGTTTTCTTTTATACATAAAAAATATCGGTATTTAAAATTTGAAAAATTTATTTGTTTGTTATAGATCTCAGAGACTTTATGAACTGGAGCAACCAAATAGTAGACGATGGCACGAGGAAACAATTTTATTTTGGAGACGTGCGACGTTTCACAAAGTTCAGTTGCAAAAATCAAACCAAAATATCGATGGTGAAATATCCGCCAAAAAATATACATCGATACATTTATGTACTTTAAGCTTTATTCAAAATCGGCATCGCGCTTGTGGTGGTTGTTGTGCCCGCGCGTTCTCTTATTAATTCCTTTCCCTGGAAATAAGGGTGGTCGGTATTTCAATTCGTTCCGCACGACACACGAAAAAAAGTTAACAAAAAGTATTAAAAGTGTAGCAAGTTCCTTTGAATAAGTGTCACTCCATAAAAGCAATAAATTTATCTAAAAGTTAACATCGACAAAAGCAATTCGAGGAAGCAACAATGTTTTCACGTCCAAGGTAAGTGCTTTCCAAGCCAACGGCAAAAGGGACTCGACTCCAGTTACGGTTACACGATTGGGAGGAGCTGCCAATGGGGCATTATGCAACATGGCGAGTGGCACAGTGGCACTGCCCCAGCTGTTAGCCCAGTGACCTAGTCGACGCGGGGCTGACGAGGCAGACGGATGGCCGCCAAATGACGTCTGCTCTCCTTCCTCCCGCATCATATGCCTTTGCGCAGCTTTCGTTTTTAGTCGCACACACACACACACGCATGTACTTACCAAGGGATGCCTGAGAGAGAGAGAGGGATATAAAACATATTCGCACATGGCCTGGCATTGACCCGCTTCCTCGCCCAGCTGCTGGGCGATCGGACATTCTTTGGCATCCTCCTTTTTACTTTCCTTCCTTGCATTGCATAAGATTCGATTCGACTGCACTCGACGCTGCTCTTCTCCGCACATTTGTTCGCTGCCAAAAACAGCTGAGAAAAATCAATACCATTAACCAGGCGACTCGACACCTTCACGTTCATGGACATGGACATAGACACATATGCACACGGCTTTTCTGGCTGAAACTGGCGAAAAATTCTAAAATTAGTGTGTATACCGACAGATGTGCTGGCGTTTGGCTTTTGCCTGCTCTTAATGAGGCTGTTGCTGGTGTGTTTGTGCTTTTGTAAGCACTTTTTCGTTGCCAAGTTCATCAAAAGAACACAAGAACAAAATGTTTCTCTCGCGGCGCACCTTCCTTCCCACTCACGCCCCCTAGCCCAGGTGGGCTGCTTACCATCTCTTTCTCTGGCAAACCGTTAGATGGCTGACGCATTCCAAATATCCAATAAGAGTACATTGACTTGTTCAAGTTCACACACACACACAAGAGCCTTCTGGTCAGCTGTCGCCCTCCACATACAGACAGTGGGTCTCTTATATATTCGCACACCCTGAAGAGCAAAAGCTTTTTCCCTTAAATATATTCAAATATCCATTAAAAATTGTAGTCGATGAGAGCAGAAAGCCCATACCTTTCAGAGATTCAAGGAACTAATACAAATTGGAAAGAATAGATTAAATAGAATCGATCTGTATCTTAAAAGTTTAAGGAAGAACCTAACCAATTGTTCTGCAATTGCAAACAGGTACTTATACCTTCCTTCGTGGAACATTTGTACCTGGTGATTTATGGAGAGGTTTCTAATTACCTTAATAGTAACCTTTTTATCGTGTGTCGCACAACACCTGACCCTTTAGGCGAACACATAGTTCTGGTACCCACTGTAGAGAGACACACTCACACCCTTACAGAAAAACTGGAAAACATTTAACGACACGCATTTATTCGTATTCCGTACAAATTTGGTTTGGATGGAGGCAGATATGCGAAATTGTTTAGCACTTGCTGGGCTCATGTCATGCCAGTTCTCCACTGACGGGGGAATGATAGCGTTACCTAAACACATCCGCCCCTACTTCTGGCCCCCTAGCAACTCTTTCGATAATTATCAGCCCAGAAGCTCTCTCATCGGGTTACATTACCAGTCGCGTGGATGGATGGGGGTGACGCGGCTCGCGGCGGCGTCATGCGCTTCTGATGTGCTCACGTCACTGACGGGTTTCCGCTATACCATAAAATCTCCAAAGATCTGGAGAGCATGATTTCATCAATGAACCGTTAAGAGAAGACTTAGTCACACGACTCTACATATTTTCTGCGGTTTTTTCCCCCTTCTGTATAACTCTCTGCAATTAGCGACAACTAAACAAATAATAATAATACTTGCAATACATATATGTTAAACGCCATGTTACGCCATGTTTTTTTTTTTTTCTTTTTTTTGGTGCTATCCATCCATCTATCTTTCTTATCTGTGGAGAGGAGAAGGGGTTCTTGGCAATGTGACTTATTTTTTTATACTATACCCTGCTAGAGGGTATTATGATTCGATTGAAGGTTTTTACAGCATAGCTGGAATCAGTTTCGATTCTTTAATTCTTATATATTCTTGACTATTATTATTAACAGCCGATAAAGCGTTATTATGCTTATATTTAAACTATTCCATACATTTTTTAGTTATCTATCAGTTCTTTATCTTCCCAAGGAACGCTTGTTCAGGAAACAAATAAAGCAAACAATAGAAATAATAGATATACATAGTATGTATAGGAGAGGCAATAATAATCAAAATCGGATTCCCATATCATATATTTCTCATAGAACTTACCGGTCGAATACTTATTCTAAGTGAAACTGGGAATTTTTCCAAAGCTAATCCCAACCAAAGGTTCACATTTGTGCTATGATATGGTTATAAATCACTTGTAAAGATTTCATCAAAATAGAATCCTAAACCTATTGTAGAAACCATGGCTTTGTAAGGGTATTAAAAGCTTCGGGATGCAAAGACAGCCTTTCGCTTTTTTTGTTTTGCGCTGATAAACAAAAACCAGCTGATTGCAACCTTGAAAATATACGCAAACATCTATATACTCATTTATATATATATATAAGATATATTGTATTATATTTGATATGTACGTGTACTTCTTCCAGTGACAATGTCAAGAGTGTCATCATTGTCAGTGGGGGTTTGCCCGGTGATTGCCTTTCTACAATTGACAAACTGATAAATTATATGCAATTTCCGACCTCCCCCCCCTTTTCCATTGCAGTCTGTGTGGCACTGTTGGGAAACTGTGCCGCTGCGGCACTTCCACAACTGCAGCAGGAACAACCACATCCCCGGCTGTCTCGGCTCTGGCACTGTGCGAGGCCCGTCGCTATCATGAGGTGGTGGGTGACATTATCTGCCCATCGCAGGTGCGAGGCATCGATCACATCCGTGATCCGCGTCTCAACAAGGTAAGAGATCCACTCACAGCCCCAACAGGCTCCCCACTTTGAGCAATCTCTTGCTCTTTGCAGGGTCTGGCCTTTACTTTGGAGGAGCGCCAAGTGCTGGGCATCCATGGCCTGCAGCCGGCGCGCTTCAAGACGCAGGAGGAGCAGCTGCAGCTGTGCAAAATCGCCGTTAATCGCTACACAGAGCCGCTGAACAAGTATCTGTATCTGAGCGATCTGCACGATCGCAACGAGCGGCTCTTCTTCCGCTTCCTCTCCGAGAACATTGAGGATCTCATGCCCATTGTGTATACGCCCACCGTGGGCCTGGCCTGCCAGCGCTTCGGTCTGATCTACAGGCGTCCCCACGGCCTCTTTGTCACCTACAACGATCGGGGACACATCTTCGATGTGATGAAGAACTGGCCGGAGCCAAATGTGCGGGCCATTTGCGTGACCGATGGCGAGCGCATTCTCGGCCTCGGCGATTTGGGTGCCTGCGGCATGGGCATTCCCGTGGGCAAGCTGGCCTTGTACACGGCCCTCGCCGGCATCAAGCCGCACCAGTGCCTGCCCATTGTGGTGGATGTGGGCACCAATAACATCGATCTGCTGGAGGATCCCCTGTATGTGGGTCTGCGCCAGAAGCGTGTGGTCGGCCGCGAGTACGACGACTTCATCGACGAGTTCATGGAGGCGGTGGTGAAGCGCTACGGGCAGAACACCCTCATCCAGTTCGAGGACTTTGGCAATCACAATGCATTTAGGTTCCTGGACAAATACCGCAACAACTACTGCACCTTCAACGACGACATCCAGGGCACTGCCGCCGTGGCTGTGGCCGGACTGTATGCCTCCAAGCGCATCACCGGCAAATCCTTCAAGGATTACACCTTCCTGTTCGCCGGCGCCGGTGAGGCTGCCATCGGCATTGCCGATCTGGTCGTCAAGGCCATGGTGGCCGAGGGCGTACCCATCGAAGAGGCCTACCACAAGATCTACATGGTGGACATTGACGGTCTGCTGACGACCACTCGCAAAGTGGGCAACCTGGAGGGTCACAAAGTCAACTATGCCAAGGACGTTGAACCCATGGCGGATCTCGAGCAGATTGTGACGGCCATCAAGCCCAATGTGAGTGGAAATCCGCATCGTGGCACCTCCTTTCACTGATTCGCTGACTTGCGACTGTTTTTTTTTGTTTGTTGATGTTGCAGGTGCTCATTGGTGCATCGGCCTGTGCCGGCCTGTTCACGCCCAAGATTCTCCGCACCATGGCGGACAACAACGAGAGGCCCGTGATATTTGCCCTCTCCAATCCAACCAGCAAGGCGGAATGCACAGCCGACGAGGCGTACCAGAACACGGATGTGCGTTTCACCCAGCCCAAAGGGGGGACTTGCCACTACTTATTTTATTTATATTTATATTTACTTGTAGGCTCGCGTGATCTTCTCATCGGGCTCGCCCTTCCCACCGGTCAAAGTGGGCGACAAGACGTACAATCCGGGCCAGGGCAACAACGCTTACATCTTCCCTGGCGTGGGTCTGGGCGTGATCTGCACTGGCACGCATCACATACCCGATGACATGTTCCTGATTGCCGCCCAGGAGCTGGCCAACTTTACGGAGGCGACCGACATTGAGCGCGGCTCGCTGTATCCGCCGCTGGCGAGCATCCGTGATGTGTCCATGAATATTGCCATTGGTGTGACCAAGTGTGCCTATGACAAGGGTACGGAAATTGAATCAGATCAGCCCTCTAGATGTGCCATAATATATGTATTTTATTTGTGTGTTTTTTTAGGTCTGGCATCCACCTATCCGGAGCCACAGGACAAGCGCAAGTGGCTGGAGGATCAGCTGTATAACTTCAACTATGAGTGCTCGATGCCGGTGACCTGGACCTGGCCGCGCATGCCCTACATTAAGACTCGTGAATTAGTGCCCACCAAGCTCTATGGAAAAAAAAGTGATTACTAATTTTTGTGTTTCTCTTTCATTCTGTTGCAGGCGCTGAAAGCCCGCTCATTGCCGCCATCAAATAAGCAAGCCCAAGCCAAGCCATAGCCAAGCCAAGCGTTCAAGTTCAAGCTCAAGCGTGTTGGCACCACCTACTCTCTATGTTTTTGCATCTCCTAACCCACTTCTACTACTGCTACTACTACTACTGCTCGTACTACTTCCAATGCGTTCGTTCACCATCCAGCACCAAGCCAATCAATCTACTAACCAAAGCTACCGCATCCAGACAGCACACACAAACAAAAAGAACAGATTTCAGCTGCTATGCCTACATATATATGTATATATGTTGCTGCGTTTGCGATTGATTCGTTTGCCTCCGTTTGCCCAGCCAATCAGCCAATTAGCCAACCAGCCAACGAATGGTCAACCCTGCCAAAAGGAGTGCACACTCTTTGTTAATTATATTGCACCTGCTAGAGGCTAGAGGCAAGGGGCCAGAGGCGTTTAGAGATTCAAGCGACGGGCGCAACGGAATAATCGTTACATGTACACTTTTCAATATGTTTCTTATGCATAGTATTATTATTGTCTATATATATGTATGTATTTATATGTATGTATGTTATGGATATATGTTTTTAGTTTTTGTATAAATTATAATGTTTATTGTTTTGTGATCGATAACAATGACTGTGACGTGACGATTACGTTGACGATGACTCTGAAACCTCAGTATTTCCTTGCCTATTAATTCTACTACTAAATGTATTTGCTATGTGCTATGCTTTTGATTTGCTATACCTAACCGCAATACTTTTCCTCTCTCTCTCTTGGCTTTCGCTTGCCCTCTAACGCTCTCCCCCCCTCTTTCTCTCTCTGTGTGTCTCTATCTGTTGGCTGATCTGTAACTAACTCTGAAGGCGGCATCAAGCGAGCAGCTACATCTATTATATATCTATATCAAAACCACTGCTTGCTCATAACTCATAATTAATAGCTGCGAAACTCGATAATTGTTTGATTGATATATATATATTGCTATGTTTCCCTTTCGTTGCCATACAGAACAAAACGAAGAGATTCTATAAATTAGCCAACCAACCAACCAAACAACTCCCCAAAGCAAGCAATCAACCAACCAACCCACTACCAACGACCGCCTACAACAATTGGCCAAACCCAACCGACAGCAAGCTAAGACAGCTCCGAGAACTGGTGAGAGCACAAGCCCCCAAAAGACCCCCACACCCCCACGCAAAAAGTAAAGCAACATACATAAGTTTTAGCGACTATGATTCGTATATTGGTTCAGTTGTGCCCCATGTGTATCCTGTGTGTGGATATCCGTGCGGGCATTTATTTATATATATATACCCATAGCTATAGCTATACCCATATATCGATATTGTTTGTTGTTGAGCCATGTCTGATATTTGTTAACGCAGTTAAGCAGCTTTTGTTACACATAATTTATTGTTACACAAGGTCAACCCAAATGTACTACAACTATCCATTGATATAGAGAAAACCACGCCCCCAACACCCAGCCCCCAACCACCACTATGCCCCCAATCGATCGGACCGATTCAGCCATTGTACAATTGACAAGATTTGATGATGTGCGATAAACAATAAAAATTAAACAGAAAAAACAGAAACTAACAGGAGATATTTTAATATTGAGTGAAATTAAATGCGCTTCCGTTTAGCTTTTACAGCACTGAGAGAGTGAAGCTTAAATCTGGCTTTGGATATTTGTGGATTTACTGCACTTTTCTCTTGGTTCTCTACAATGTTGAGTGAAATGGAAGATTCACGCTGTCGCAGTGGGAGCTTTGAGCGGGAAGCTTTCAGAGCGCAGAACCTAAGCTGCCGTCAAGACAAGTTTTGAGCCAAAAACTTCGAATTATTAAGTGTGCGCTTTGTTTTCGTCGTCGTGCAATGAAATGCTGGAATATATTAGCATATTCCCATATACGGGTATTGTTCTGACCATAAAGAGCGAACAAATCTCACGACAACAATGGAGATTTTGCATTGATCGGAGCGGTATCAAAGCCGCTCAATCTGGTTCTCTCTCTCTCTCTGTCGGACATATGTACAAGCTGAGCTCTGAATGGAGCTCTCTGAGACACTAAGCCTGAGCTCTCTCAGGCATAAAACTTGAGCGCTGAGATCAGCAGCTTCCAGTAGAGTTCTGAGCGTTCGATTGAGAACGCATTCCGCATCGGACAATCACAGGTTTCGTTTGGGTTTCGATCAGTTCTCAGAAATGATAAGCAGATGCTTTGTTGCTGTCTGTGGCATTGCCCTCGTGTTCGGTGTACAGGCCGCTGGAGCAGGTTAGAGCAATGAATTCTCATGCCTACAGCCTCAAGCCCATAGCTAACATTGAAATACAATCTACAGCCTATGCCGATGAGTGCACCACACCCAATGGGGAGTCGGGCCAGTGCATGCCATTCTCCTCCTGCAAGGACATTGAGCAACGACTGACGGAGAGCCAGACGGCGGGACAGAGTGTGCCAGCCGATTATGCCAGCTACTTGCAGAAGGCTTCCTGCGGCGAGATCAATGGTGTGGTAAGCATCACCATCAATCCCACAGCAATCTCAAGCTCGTCTGATTCGATTCGATTTGATTTGATTTGCTCTTCCAGCGTCACTTTTGCTGTCCTGCTGCCCAGATTCAGCACAACTCCAAGGTGATGGCTCTGTTCAAGGACGAGAGCTTCGACTGTGGCAACTTTCTGAGCCAGCGCGTGGCCAATGGCTATGAGGTGAAGCTGTCGTCCCGGCCCTGGATGGCCCTGCTGCGTTACCAACAATTTGGGGAGGCGCGTTTCCTCTGCGGCGGCGCCCTCATCTCAGAACGTAGGTCCCCCTGCTGGCCTTAGTCTTTACATGCCTCTGAAGTGCATTATTTGATACCTTTTCAGGCTACATCCTGACTGCTGCCCATTGTGTGCATGGCCTCCAGGATGACCTGTAAGACAGAAAACAAAGTTAATATCTCTGATTAGCCCCCAACTGATCTGGGCCATCTTCTCTCCTCTCTCCTCTAGGGATGCGATACGGCTGGGCGAGCATCGGATCTCAACGCAGGAGGACTGCAGGCAGCAGGGACGCAAGAAGAAGTGTGCTCCGCCCGTTGTGGATGTGGGCATTGAGAAGTACATCATCCACGAGCACTACGATGCCCGTCACATCATGCACGACATTGCCCTGCTGCGCTTAAAGGAAAGCGTTCCCGTTCAGAGTAAGTCCCCAATCGATCGCCCACCCACTCGCCCAGTCCTTGGCTTAAACCTGCCTCTCTTTCTCCTTGGCAGAGCACATCAAGCCCATCTGCCTGCCCATTACAGATGAGCTGAAGCAGCAGGCGGAGCAGATCAGCACGTACTTTGTGACCGGCTGGGGCACCACGGAGAACGGCTCCTCCTCCGACGTCCTGCTGCAGGCGAATGTGCCCCTCCAGCCACGCTCGGCCTGCTCGCAGGCCTACCGACGTCCGGTGCCCCTCACCCAGCTGTGCGTCGGCGGCGGTGATCTGCAGGATTCCTGCAAAGGTGACTCCGGCGGCCCACTGCAGGCGCCCTCCCGCTATCTGGGAGAGTTTGCACCGCGCATGGTGGAGTTTGGTATCGTCAGCCAGGGTGTCGTCTCCTGCGGCCAAGTGAGTCTGCCCGGCCTCTACACGAATGTCGGCGAGTATGTCCAATGGATAACAGACACCATGGCAAGCCACGGCCTGTAAGACAGAGCGAGAAATGATCTACATCCAATATTAGTAGGTACTTAAGTAATTAGGAAACAAAAATAAATACATTAAACGCGTATATTCATATTAGTAAACTTATTCAAAAGTTTCCACGTTGGGGGGGATGAATTGTCCAGGGGATTGTGTGGTTGGGATGTGGTTTGCAATTCCACAAGCCATCTAAATCTGTAATATTTGAGTTGCTTTATATCATACGTATGAAATAAATATGATTACAAACTGTTCAGAAATGATCAATCACCTTAAGAAATGGAAAGAAGATTGCAGCAAGCAGCAACAGATTGCTCCAGTTATTTCCAAGTATTTACTATTTACGAAGACACTTATTCTTAGAAAAGGGTGGCACTAAGCTGCGAGTACGAGTATTACTCTGTTGAAACAATCACAGCAAGTGTTTGTATCTACTTTTCATTCGTATCTTTAGTGCAAAGTTTAATACAGTTATAAGAATATATTAACGTTGCTTCTGTTCTGATGAATCATTAAAATATATATCTTATCATTATTCCATGGTTACCAGCCATGATTATTGCATATCCGGCTAATAATTTCTCCATTTCCATGAATATTAAAATATATCATTTTAAATATGCAACGAGTCGGATGAGTAATTCATCGATGGGCTTGGAGTACTTGGGTTTGTTCATTAAATTATCACAGATAATGTAATTAGTTTATCAGTTCAATTGCCATTAACTATGGGCGAGTGGTGGGAGTGTACACACAATCTGATTATGTGGCTCGTAGATTAAACATATTTATTTATGGCTAAGCATGGTGGAACCTCCCATGCCGCCTGTGTGTGTCTTGCTGACCTATCCTAATGGAGGGTGTGGGAGTGCCCAATGGAAATTGGCTGACAGCTGGCCATGTATCATAGAAGGATGGTTTTTTTTTTTTTTTAGAAAACCACAACATTTGGGGGATTTTTTTTATTAGCTTTTGTGCTCCACGCATTTGCGAATTAAGAGTTTGATATGCCATTGCACTTGGGGTTTTCAGTTCTGGAAATTCCATATTGTTGTTACACATGCGAGCATCCAAAAGAACGAGTTTTTAAGGTAGCAGAAAAATACACACACACAGACAGAGATACTACCTGTCTGTCAGTCTATTCTCCCATGGGGCGTGTGAGTGGGGAACTTGCGATAGAAATTACATTTCGAAAACGCTTTAATTAAACTTCTCGTTCTCGTACAAGGGAGGGAGGCAGTGAACAAAAAAAAAAGTACCGACTATAATGGGTGTACACCCCGACTACGGCTCTAAGTCTGGGTCTGGGTCTGTGTCTCTCTACCGACGCGTGCCAGTGAGAGATGGAGAGAACTTTCGAGAAAAGTCTCTTCCAGCGCGAGAGAGTGATCGAGGTTCGATGGGGGGTTTCCTGGAATTTAATCGCTTTTCCCACGCTGCAGGCGAGCGTTGAGCTAATCTGCGTCAACACGTGCGCGCTGGGACCGCGTAGGAGACCAGTTGGGTATTCGAACTGGGTATTGGCGCGAGTCGAGGCAATTATGCATCCCCCGGAGCGGCGCACACGATCAATCTCTGAGCGATGAGGCGTTGAGCGCTTACAAAAGCTCGGCCCACGACGATCTGCGGCTCATTCTCCGTTGATCGGCTGAGCGCGCATGTTGGACATTATTATCCACCGGCAGTCTATCCGATAAAAATTATACGACTGGTTTCGCTGGTTCCACTGAGCGGCAGCTGATAGATCGCATAGCAAATCTCACTCACAGATATCGGAGCAGGATGGCCACCACCATATTCACATACAGCAGCCTAAGCTTGAGCTTCATCTGGCTGATTGTCGTCGGGCCAGAGCTGGTTCTAACACGTAAGTGCCCCCCCCCCCCACAAGGGAGGAGGTTAGAGGTCGTCTGGAATGGGCGTTTACGGAACTTTGGTGTTTTGTTTTTTTTGTTGCTTTCAGAGAGCAGTTGTGTGACACCTGCGGGCGCCTCGGGCCTGTGTGTGCCGTCGCAGGAGTGCGGCTTTGTGAAGCAGCTGCTCAGCATTTACGGACGGAATATACCGCGACGCTTGCAGAACCAAATGCGACAGATGCAGTGCACCGGAGAGACTGATGTAAGTTCAGGAGAAAAATCGAAAAAAAATCAAAACTCCCTCTGTAACTTGTCCCTCCCCACGTGTTTGCAGGAATTCCATTTATGCTGCCCTGGCGACACTGGCACACGGCTATCACTGACCGAGCAGAGGCCCGCAGCCGCAAAGACGGCACGCGCTGCACCCCGTGACCTGAACCGCATCGATCCGCAGGGTCTTCGGCTGCTCGACTCCGTCACCCAATGCGGCAACAGGGGCAATCCCAAGGTGAGTGGCGGCCGCAACTCGAAGCCCGGTGAGTTTCCGTGGGTGGCGCTGCTCAAGTACGAGACCTCCGGCCGCCAGTTCCTGTGCGGCGGCAGCCTGATCAGCGATCGCTTCATCCTCACCGCTGCCCATTGCATTGTGCAGCAGCCGACGCTGTAAGTACAACTCGAAGCGGCAATTAAATTGAATTGAATTAACGCTGAGGGAAATTCCCAATGTTGCAGGCTTGGCGTGCGTCTGGGTGAGCACGATCTGGACAAGGAGGAGGACTGCACATATTTGGGCGGCATTCATAGGGTGTGCCAGCCGCCGCACGAGGACTTTGGGGTGGAAGATGTTCGCGTCCATCCCGGCTATGCGCACGGCTCGATCAACAATGACATTGCGCTGGTGAAGCTGGACCGAGCCGTGGTGCTGCCCAAGTCGCATATTGCACCCATTTGCCTGCCCATCGACGACAAGTCCAAGGAGCTGGCCCACGATCAGAGCTTCCTGATTGCCGGCTGGGGTCGCACGGACAAGGATGACGCTGCCTCCATACAGCAGCGAGCTCTGATCACCCGCAAGGATGTCTCCGTTTGCCGCAGCTACTACAACAATGCGCCCGTCAATGAGAATCATATCTGCGCCACCGGTTCCGGCATCGCGCACACCTGTCGCGGCGACTCCGGCGGCCCGCTGTTCTTCAAGCATCGCTTCAAGCAGAACTACCGCTTCGTGCAGTACGGCGTCATCTCGTTTGGCGGCCAGCGGTGTGGCACCAACCGGAATCAGCCCGGCGTCTTTGCCAATCTCATCGATATGCTGCCCTGGATAACGCAAAATCTATACTGACACCAGTTGAATGGCAGCTCCGATCCTAACGAATACTCCTGCAGTCCTCCACGCCTCTACTACATTCGCTTTATTTATGTCCGTAGCTTTAACAGCCCTTTGCCATAGATACTTTAAGAGTTATTTGCATAGTTTTTGTATAATAAATGTTTAAGATTTGCAGCATAAAATTGAAAGTTTGGAAGGTACTTATGATGGGTTGAGAATGGGTTTTCCTTTTTATACCCGTACTCAAAAAAGAGTTAAGGGGTATATTAGATTTGTGGTAAAAGTGGATGTGTGCAACGCAGAGAAGGAAACGTTTCCGACCCCATAAAGTATATATATTCTTGATCAGCATCAATAGCCGAGTCGATATAGCCATGTCTGTCTGTTCGTCCGTCTGTCCGTCTTGATGAGCGCCTAGATCTCAAAGACTATAAGAGCTAGAGAAACGAAATTTGGTTTCCAGACTCATGTGAGTACGGGTATAAGTAGAGTCGCGTCCCCAGAAGCGACTCGCACGTTCCTTCTCGTTTGTTTATTGGTTTATTGTGGAATCAATTGGATGCCTTATATGTGTTTCTTATATCTCAGCTGTCTGAGCTCTGACGCATGCTCAATTTAGGAGTAAATATCTCAGCATCTATGGGAATCTTCGGGCAATTAGTGTTTTCGTGAAACTACATGAATGGTTCACTTGTTAAGTTGTTTTTTTTTTTATTTTTAGGGATTAATTCATACATTTAATTGGCTTGAAATTTACCCGAACCTAGAACTGACTCATGTGGATATATGACGTCGCGAAGTTCAAGGCTTATCGCCAGATCCCAGCTGGGAATTCCTTTAATGGGTCAGCACGAAAACGAAACCGCAGTGATGAATGAAAGACTTCAGCTCCTTTGCGATTGAGGAGTTTAGTTTTGCGGTCAAGTGAATCATTCTTCACAGCATACAGCAGCAACGTGATTTCCAAGAGCCAACTAAAGATTACATGAAATCTTCCTAATATTGTGCTCTTGAGTATGGATTCTGAATCACTGAGTCACCATGTCAGAGCAAAGAGTTAAGCAAGTCGACTGGTATGCTATAATTTGCGGTTAGCAATTAATTGCATGCCTTAAACAGTTCAGAGAGTCGGCATATAGTAAATCCGAATACTAGTATAACGATTACGGCGGAACGGGTATGGGCTTTCCCCACACATATCCCACGTCTAATCTATTTAATTCTTAAAACAAACAAATGATTAATAGCCCGGCTGACCTACGAAGTTGACATGTCCACACATGATTTATACTATGTATACGCTGCATTAAAATCGAAACATTCGACCCAGCATTGAACTAAATCCACGGAAATAAACCAGGGTAGTTCGGCTGCTAATGTAGGACACGCCACGCCACGCCAAGCCACGCCGAACAAAGGATTGATGGATATCCGACACTGAAATCGCTTCCATTGTGCCACGGGGTGCAGGCCCAAAAGCTCTCTGAAAGTATTTCCTGTGGCAACAGTTTGTATTTTTCCGCCGGACGATGCACAATGAATTGGAGCCGCCTGCAGGGTTTGGCTCTGAAGGGTATACTCTATTTCGTGACCTTTTATCAGTCGTTGCCATTTTTTGGCAGCGTCTCCCTGTCACTGCTGCACAGCTACATCTCCTCATCGGTTTCCTTTAGCTTGGACACCATTTAGTAAGTGGTTTGCCGCAACAATGTCCCTGCCACTCAAAGCCCTTATTGTCTAGCCTCAATTGGAACTCGACATTTCCGGCCATAACCGTGTGCGAGATATACAACGCCGAAAAGATTTGGGAGCTGAGCGACAGCCACTTTGGCGTCGAGCACGAGATGCACATCGATGACTTCATCAGCGAGATTGTGTTCTATCGGGGCGTCTGCAGCAGCTGCGAGAACTGCGCCCAGCTGCGCTGTCCCGCCAACTATACGCTGCTCCTGGAAGTGGTATGTCGCCAGAGAGGAGTTCCAATGGCCGCCCATTCACATTTGTGGCCTTGTTTCAGTTCCGCACCAAGTGCCATCAGTTGATATTGAACTGCAGCTACCTGAACGAGCTGTTTGACTGCTGCGATGAGTTCCTGCCCGTGGCCACGGAGTACGGACTGTGCTACTCCTTCAACTCGCACCAGGCACGCAAGGTGGCCCATGTCCAGTACACGAACAGTCGCATGACGGGCCCTGGACATCTCACATTCAACGCAGCCGCCGATGTACAGATCTATGTGCATGCGCCCATCGATGTGCCCTTTCAGCTGTCCGAGGGAATGATACGCGAGACGGTGCTGCTGGGCCACTTCAAGGAGCTCATTCTGAACGTCATCGAAGTGCACAACGACGAGAGCGTTCAGGATCTGAGCCTGGAGCAGCGGCGATGTCGCTATGGCCACGAGCACGTCCCCGATCGCCAGGGCATTTACGAGTTTTACAGCTACTCCGGCTGCGTGGTGGAGTGCACTGTGCTCCTGCAGCTGCTCAACTGCAATTGCACGAATCACTTCATGGCTGTGCCCGGCCAGAATTCACTGCCCGTCTGCGACTATCGCGGCCTGATCTGCCTGACCAAAGTCCGGGAGAAGCTGATGTCGGAGCGCAAGTCCTGCGAGTGCATGAGCGCCTGCGAGGAGCCCGAGTACAATATTATCTACAACTCCGCGGACAGGTAAGTGCGCCGCGGTCTGAGTATGCCTTTCACTGATGGCAATTCCCTGTCCCTCCAGCGACGATGAGGATGCGGAGGACATCTCAAAGGTGCGTGTGGCCCTCGTGGAGCTACCCACTCAGCGGTATGTTCGCCGTGTGGCGAAAACCATTTTGGATTTCCTGAGTAAGCGCGTGCCACAGATGGACACTCCAATGAACGCTTGCTTAAATCTCTCCTTGCAGTCTCGTTGGGCGGCCTGGTGGGTCTGTTCTTCAACACCTCCGCGCTGCGCATCGTGGAGACGGTATTTCTAATCGTGCGACACAGGAAAACGATCGTTCAGTGGGTTCAACGAATTTGGTTTGGCACAATTAAGTATTTACAGATTATTATGGACCAGTCAAAATAAATCACAATAGCATTTCATTCTTTACATTCTAGTTGTCTTTCAATTGGGAGAGTATTAATGTGTGTGGTTGGTTATGGTTGCCTATTTATGGCTGCAGATGGGTGGAAGCTTAGCTTGTGCCCATTTTCTGTGCCGCATAGGCGACATTTTCCGACTGACTAGACCAAGCGGGCGGTGTGAGCACCTGCAGCAGGGTTTGCAGATAGTTGGGCAGATACCAGCAGCTGGAGAAGAACACCAGTGCCAGTACGACCAGGAAGAAGCCATCTACAAAAATTCATAATTTCGTTTAACGAAATTTTATCGTATTTAAAGCCTGTGTGTGTACTCACTGATTAGCTTCCTCTCCCATGGCTCTAGCATGTTAATGCACGTGATCAGTTCATACTGGCGATACAGGTGAGTGGCCAATTGTTTAAAGTTGAACATTTTGAATTATAAATGACTAAAGTCCAATGCAGAATCGATGCAAGTGGGCTGTGGACTGTAAACAAAGAACATATGGCAGCTGCAGGGCTGCAAGGCACTGGAGTGCTGGATAACGAAAATAGAGTTCAGTCAAGTACCATGCTCTACGCTATAAATTAAGTATTACATTTTTTGGTTATAAGCTGTGTAATTGTGATACATTCACAATCCATATTTATGTTGTTGAGACAGTCTCCATACAATATAAATGGCAATCTTTACACCAGACTAGTTTGCTAGGAGTGCTGTAAAGTGCTGATGTGAAGTTTTATAGCAGCCAGCTCTTGCAGGTTATGTCAAACAGCTGTTTGTTGTTTATAGTTTAATTTTTGGCGCGGCCATGGCGAGTTCTTCGAATAAGTTAAGTAATCTGTTAAATAACTCGTGCTTGGACATATTAAGAAGGGAAAACCAATCAAGTAAGATAACAACGGGTCATAAAGGTCTGGACAGATATTTGGGCGGTGGAATTGCGTTGCGGAAAATCACCGAATTGGTTGGAAATTCGGGTACCGGCAAAACCAAAATGTGGTAAATGAGTTTAATTTATGTTTAATTATGTTTTGAATGATGTCTGACTGTTGTTTTGTTCAGCCTGCAGCTATGCTTGAATGTGCAAATACCAAAATCCGCTGGCGGCTTGGAGGGGGCTGCTCTTTTCATAGACACCCGACGGGATTTCCATCCCGACAGATTGCAAGGTGCGTGGTACTTAAATTAAATGTTTAACTGCCATAACTTCTGCTTTAACTTCTTCAGAACTGGCCAAAGACCTGGAGAGGCAGTATAAGCACAGAGCACCTGACTTTGTGGCGTCCAAAATGCTGCAAAACGTCCACTACGTGAGCTGTCCGAATGCAGCCCAGTTGATGGCCACCGTCCTGAGCGCTCGGCGGGACCTGATTGCCCATCCAAATGTATGTTAATATATGCGTGTTCACTGAATTGTTTACTCAAGATCCCGCCTGCATGTGCTGCAGATAAAAGTGATTGTGATCGATTCGCTGGCGTTTTCCTTGCGCATGCTGCAGGATGGCGCCCAGAGCTTCGAGCTGCTCCTGGAGCTGCTCGAGAGTATGAGGCAACTGCTGCGCGAACACCAAGTGGCCGTAAGTGCGGTGCTATCCGTTTGCTTTTGCCTTAAATAATCCAGTTGTGTGCACCTCTCTCTCTCTCTCTCTCTCTCTCTTCGGACAGTGGGTCGTCAGCAATGTGCTGACGAATCGGTGCATCGGCCGCCGATTCCATGTCGTGCCCGCCCTGGGGGAGACGTATTCGCACATGATCAACGAGCGCATCTGGTTTTCCCTGAGCGGGCAGCACTCTCTGGGAAAGTTGTGGAAAACGAGCAGATTAGTCAAGGATTAAGGCGCATCTCGGGTAAATGGTGAATTGTACTTTTACTTTTAGTCTAAGCCACGCTGGATAATGATAATCAATAATAGATTGGGGCAAATATGTATGTTGTTCGCGCCTTAATTGCGCTCTCAATCAGTCAAATGATGCATTCCCCCCCCCCCACTGATACAATTTTTCGCATGACTGGAGTGATGGAAAATGGCTAAACAGGATCCCCAGGCAGTTGCCATAATTCCCATTGGCACAGAAAATAGTCGTAGCCATAGCCAATGCCACAACTGGCGCACACCCAGCCAGGTGCTGAACACTTGCTAAAAAGCACCTCGAAACCACTCTGGCGACAACGGCAACCACAGCGACGATGCTATCAATGGCGTTGCAGTTGCAGATTGACAGGCGAGCAGAGGCTGATTTATGCGCGCGACGCAGGAATGTGGCAAAGTGTAAAAAATGTTTACACATACGTACGTACGAGCAGCGACACCCAAACCAAGCCAAGCCAAGCCAAACCAAAACCAGACCAGACCTGTGGCTCTGTGTGGCTCTGTGGCAGAGGCAAGTCACGCATATGCAGCGACAACTAATTCAATTTCCACTGGCCTGGCCTGGCCTGGCCTGCCCAACAAGGAGGAGGCTGTTTAGCCGAGTGTGCACGCCTAATTGGTAATGCGATCGGCTTTATTGAGGCGCTGGAGTCGAAACTGCCGTGGAAGCTCCAGCCCAAGCCCAAGCCCGAGCTCAAGCCCGAACCTGAACCTCGGGGAAGTGGCTGCAGTTGAGGCAGTCGCAGTCACAGGCTATCGCTGTCGCTCAGCGCAAATCCCATTACGTGCAATCCGTTTCGAGCCATAAACATGTAAGCGCAGCTGCACACCCTCCCAGCCAGCCAGCCATGCAGCCGGGGCAAGGCAAGCGGTTTCCTGGCGGCTTCCAGCAGCGCAACTTGTCGCTCGAACTTAATTGCCTCGGCTGCGCTTATGACTTTCGTGTGCAATGCATCCTCAGCCTCATCCTACATCCTACAGCCAACAGCCACATCGCTTGCCATCTGTTGCTGTTGCTGTTGTTGTTGCCTTCGCTACATTATTAGAAAGTAACTTAAACTTGCAAAAGCCATCAACATCAACATCAGCCTCGCATCGTCGCCGTCGCCGTCGTCGTGGTCGTCATCGCTCGCCTGTCGCTGGCGCTATTTTCGACACCGCCTGGCCTGCCATAAATTCCCAAATGCCCTGCAAATGCACTGCAGGGCAGACCCTGGGGCCGCAGAAATTAGAAATAGTCTGTTGGCTAATTTACCGAGCTGCTGGCAAGTTGAAAGTCCATTTTCTATTTTCCATTTGCCATTTTCCAGTTTCCGTTTCGTACGGGTTTCAATTAAAACCAAACAAAACAGAAACGGGGAAGGCAACAAACATTCCGCTCGCTGTGCATGGCCTGGCAATTTGGCCACAACCTCGTGCACCACAGCCAAAGTTCAGTTCAGGCGAGAGTCGGCTAATTCCGCCGCCACACTGCGAACCGACGGACCGACGGACGGACGGACCAACTGCCTCGATGGCAGCACCCGATAACGGCGGGGTCTTCGAATGCAGCCAGCAGCAAAGAGAGCGAGAGTCGCAGTCGCAGCCGCCATGAGATAATCAAATGCTGGCCAAAAAGGATTGCCTGGCCTGCCTCTTGCCTTATTGTTCTCAGAAATTGTTATTAATTGAGTTGTACGCTGCACTTCGATTGGAGAAAGAGAGAGAAATACTCCTAAAAAGAGTGGAGTGGAGCGTGGAGCGTGGAGCGTGGAGATTGGCCGAAATCTGTCGCAATGGGTGGGCTGGCCATCGGTCAGATGGCTCTGTTCCGCTCTACTCATTTGGCCAATCTAATTCAGTTTGGCCATCAATAAACGAGTGGCCCCAGCGCAGAGCTATGCTCATTTGCATGCCACGTAATTTATGCTCATCAATTAGCTGATTAATTTATTTATTTGGCGTGAGACATTAAGCGGAGCGGAGCTCTGCGCCGCCGTGTCTGTGCTGTGTCTAATTAGATAAATGCGCTACATTAATGTCGCCTCTGACATTTATAAAGCGTGTGGCTCTGCCACAAACGGGTAATTTTTCAGCTCAGACACGGGGCTTTTTCATTGTTTTTTTTTTGGGCTATTAGGGTTACGCGTTTCTAGCTGCTGGCTGCTAATCATTTTGTGGGGGGTAACTAAATTGCTCAGAGGATTAACTCTAACTCAATGCTGATCATATTCCTCATTTTAACTTAGATTCTATCATGGCGAAGGAGCATTTTCTATTGCTTTCTATTAGCCATTTGTGCCGCTCTATTAGCCAATCAATTGGCCCCACGAAATTAGTTTATAATGCTGCTTATAAATGCCACTTGTCGGGCACAGCGACACGGATGTGCCTGGGCCTGGATCTTGATCCAGTCGTTGCCAGCGTGTCTGCTATCTGGCCGTCTCCCGGTGTCTGCCACACGGTGCCACGGGGAGGGAAAAGGAAAATATTTTAATTAAAACACAAACTAAACGTTTACTGTAAGCGATGTTATCCATTGCATTTCATACAAATAACAACGACCTGGCTACCTGGCAGAGACACTGCTGTGGCTGCTGCTGTGGCTGCTGCTGCTGCTGCTTGTGGCTCCTCTGGCTTCTGCGTGCAACAAATACGGCAAATGTTGCATGTAACAGCAGCAACATGTGTCGCACATCGCCTATTTGAATATATATCAAATCAGTTTAAGATAATTTTCTATAACAGCTCGACACACACAGGCAAATGGACAAAACATTTGTACGAGTTTGTTGCCAAAGTCTTTCGTTTTGCTGTCGTTGCTGCTGCTGCTGTTGCTGCTGCTGCTGTTGCTCCTTCTCCTGTCTGTCTGCCTGCCTTGCTGCGAGTGCATATTTTACGCGCCGCATTGTTGCAAGCGGATTGAGGATTGAAATTAAGTTGTTTTGCATAAAAGCGCCATAAAAAGGCGCAGCAGCAACAGCAGCAGCAGTCGCAGGCAGTGGAGGAGGCCAGGCCAGGCAATTGTGATTAGAACGACACGACAGGCACGACATGAGACATATGAGACGCTGCAGTTTCTCTTGCTGCTGTTGCTGCTGCAGTTTTGTGGCCCATACATATATGGCCAGCAATTGTCGAACGAAACGAAAATTGCGCGGCTCACCACGAGCGACGTATGTCATCGAATGGCATTGCCATTAGCGATCTTCTTGAGGAGAGTGCCCGTTCCCGGAGTGGCATCAGCGACAGCTTCCTGCGGCCAATAGGCAAATGCTAGGCCAGACCATGCCCTGAACTCCCAGCAGCAGCAGCAGAAGCAGCTACAGCGGCGGTAACAGCAACTATTATCAATTTAAGTTGGCTAATTGGTTTCAAATTTATGGACCTGTATTTGATATTTATGTCGTCTACTCGTACAAGAGCCAGAGCTCTGTGTGTGCCTCGCAATTTTGCCTGTCTGCCGTGGATCTGTGGCCTGCCTGCCTGTGGTATGGCATGGCCTGGGCACCGGTCTTGGTCGGTCCTGGCTGCCGCCGTCGCTGCCTTGGCATGCTGCAAACAACGTAATTGGCTTTCAATTTGCAGCAAATTGTTGCAACAGCCACGACAACAACGAAAAAGAGCAACACAGCAACACAGCAACAGAGCAACAGAGAGAAACATATTTAGATTATAGACGGATAAAGTTTATGTACGTTCTGTTCTCGCTGGTTCTTCTTGGCCAACATCGCCGCCGCCGCCGCCTGTCTGGTCTTCTCGGCTTTTGCTCTTTTCCTTCCTCCATAATTCCAATGAGTTATATGCCCCCATCATGTGCGCTCTGTGGCCCTTCAAAAACGTTGAAAACGTATCGCGCGTTAATTAAAAAAAAAGAAAAGAAACATCAACGGAGCGCAGAAAAAAAGCGCCAAAAATTCCGCTAAAATTTCGCTGTGAGGCGGCAGCGGCGGTCCCAAAAGGGCGGCGGCGGCTACCGAGTCCAGGGTACACAGGGTACCACAGTTCAATAACTAAATAAAATACTCAGAGGATCTGTGGAGTGCAGGCGAAAAGGCGAGGCAGAGAGGCAGACGCAGGTCCAAGCACAATCAAGCGAAAATTCCTGGCATTTTCTGCTTCATTAACAACACACAACGCGGCCAGACCAGGCCAGTCCAGGCCAGTCCAGGACCGGGCCATTTCGTTTTGTTTGAGCCAAGTTTACCGCTGACGAAATTTACGCACGTTGGAGGAGGCTGCTGCTGCGGCTGCCCCTTACCTTGATCATCCGCTGAGCTTAGTTTTCGGTGTATTTCGGTTGGCTTGGCTTGGCTTGGCTTGGCTGCTGCTGCTGCTCCTTTTGGTATTTTAATTAGAAACCAAACAGCGCAAAATGCATTGCTCGATGCCCAATTCCCGATTTTCGCTTTCTTTGTGCTTTGGTGCCGGGGCCTCTCTTTTTTCTTGTTTGCTGATCTGTTTCGATGTCTTTTCTGTTTCTGTTTTCGGTTTTCGGTACATTTGGGTCTCATCTCGTCTCCTCTGCGACTTGCATTTGGTTTTCACATTCAATTAGCGCATATTTCAAAACAAAAACACACATATTTCCGATCGACAGGAAATGCTCCACTCTACTCCACTTCACTCCACTTCACTCTCCTTGCAGAGCTGAGATCTGTGCTCTGGCAGCTGGTATGTATTGATTGGCTCCCAGTCCCCCCCAAGTACTTTCACTCCAGTTATTAGACAGAAAGAAATGCGCGCAGCATTTTTTTGTTATTTCTTTGCACTAACTTTATTGGTATTGCTTTATTGCTGCTAGATCAATGTTAAAATAATAAATAAATATTACTACACACACACACACACACACACACACACACACACACAAACACACACACATACAGTACAGGTATAATACAATGGAATACAGTGATGATTGCTTAAACTGGATCTGGATGCTTAATTTAATTACGCTAATTATTATTATTGCGTACAACAACTTTCAAAGTCTAACATGTTGCGGCTTATGTTATGTTCGGATCTAACTATAGCTATAGACAAAATACAATAACGGTAACT